GGCGGCTGTGGCTGAGTGGTTAGAGCAGTCATTCTCCAATGCAAGAGTTGGGGGTTTGATTCCACCAGCAGTCACATGCTGAAGTGTCCCTGGGCAAGACACCAAACCCCTCATTGCCATCGATGTGTGTCCTATCGATGTATGAATGTGATAAAGCTCAGATTATTCTTTGTAAAAATATAGTAGAGAGTGCTGTATGAATGGGTAAATGAGGACACAGATTGTAAAGAGCTTTGAGTATCTCAATAAGATAGAAAGGTGCTAAAGGTACAGTCCATTCACCATTTACCGTAACAGTATTTAGAAGAGTACTCGTCATTCTTCTGTTTTATTTCAGAGGCAGATGCTTCTCTCTTGTTGATCAGTGTTGGATTAAAGTCTGGAGCACTGATGAAGAATGAGTTTCCATTAGTTTACAGCTGATCTCATTAGCTTCAAACTAATTAAATTACTTCAAATTTACGTCCACCTTTTGATACAACTATCCCCCACACAGTTTCCAATATCTCCAATTTATAATTTCATTTTTGTTGCTTTCATGTTTTTGAAAGTCAGACCAGATCAGATTCTGTCAGGTATTAAATGTACAACTTGAATCTGAAGGTTTATCTTCTGTGAATCAACTTTTTCAAAATAATCTCTCCATCAATAATGATAATATATTAGCATCTTGTAGCAAGTTTTGAGGCACTGTAACTATGTTTTATAACTAGAAACACCAGCTCAGCTCTGTCTTAACATCAGAAAAGAGCTGTTAATGTATGGATTTGACTAAACTAGTGCATCTACTAAGTAGAAAAGATTTTAAACCATTAAGATGTTCTGCTAAGACTACTGTTCTGGGATTAATAAACAAAGCGTCTCTGGTCATTTTTGTGTTTTGCTGTTTGTCTTGCTAGGATCCTTACAAGTCTTTTGGCCTTCCCTCCATTGGACGATTGTCTCAATACCATGAGCCACTAGACCTCAACAATGTAAGTGTGTGGGTGTGGAGGTGGGTGGGTGGGGGGCGGGGGGTCTCTCAGATAAATATCCAGAGAGAAAAAAGTCTTTAAAGTCTTTCTGTTACTTGGGAAGGCAAAAGGCTGGTGTAACATGCTTTTAGATCATCTCATTAATCTTTCAGGGAAGCTTGTGATCATCTCTCATCATGTTTCATCGTTTGATTTGTGCTGGTTTTTCAAATTTAGTTATCTCTCTGTGGAATGGACTTGATTGAAAAGACTAGTGCTCAGGTGGGCAATATTTTGTTTTCTCCAGAAGGTCATTTTGACTTGGTAAGATCAAAAAGGCCATAAATAAAGTGAAACTTGAGCAAAGTGTGCTACCTGCATGTTATCTGCAAAATAGACAAAGAAAAGATTGTGCACAATAAAATAAAGCTTTGTTGCATTTTTGTACATTGTTTAATGCTTTGTATGGAAATTCTTCCAGGCAGATATGTCAAATGTTTCTTTTTAGAGCTGATTTTTATTTTTTTAATCACCCAAAAAGCAAAAAGTGGGCAATAATGGTTTTGCTGTGTGTGTATATGCTTGTCTGCCTGTTAGCAAAATACCTCATGAACTACTAGACAGAAATACTCAGAAAGTAATTATTAATGTGCAACTAATGGAGTCAGTTTGATTCAAGATAACACATCCAGACAACTTTATTAAAAGATCCTCAGTCATCCAGGACATGGTAAATTCAAAAAAATTCAAGACAAAAACAACTGGATTTTATTTGTAACCGAAGACGTTTCGTTTCTCATCTGAGGAGCTTTCTCATTTCAAAGAACAGAGAGTGTGGGGTTCAAGTTATAAAGCTAGTTATAAAGTTATCTATCTTCCCTCAGCTTTGTAGCTTGAACCCCACTCTCCCTGTTCTTTGAATTGAGAAAGCTCCTCAGATGAGAAGTGAAACGTCTTCTGTTACAAATAAAGTCCAGTTGTTTTTGTCTTGAGCTTGTTTGAATTCATATTATTACTCATGATTACTGTATGGGGCCGAGACAGTGTAGAGGTAGGGCAGCCGGCCTGGGATCAGAAAGTCACGGTTCGACTTGTCGCCATGCCCACCTGCTGTGATGTCCCTGAACAAGACACCCAATCCCTGACTGCTCCCCGGGTGCTGCCCACTGCTCCACCTGGGTGTATCACTGGTGTGATGGGTTAAATGCAGAGAACTAATTTCGTCTTTGTATGAAAACATACAATGATGACAAGACATAGCACTTATATTTATAAAATATTGTCCAATTTTTAAATATTGAACTAAATTTTGGTATGGTGAAAATATTGGTTATTGAGTTATCCTCAGCTTATGTTCTGGGTGCTATGCATTGGACAACATCTTTTGGTGTCAACACAATTCAAGATCACCTTCACAGCTGATCAGACTTGAAGGACACACAAAGAGTAAGAACTCAGTCAAATTTAACAAATACTAGAGATCTACAACTGTTGGATAAAATAACTATCCTTTCATCCATCCATCCATTTTCTTCTGCTTGTCCGGGGGTCGGGTCACGGGGCAGCCTAAGCAGGGAGGCCCAGACTTCTCTCTCCCCAGCCACTTAGACCAGCTCCTCTGGGGAAATCTCAAGGCGTTCCCAGGCCAGCCGAGAAACATAGTCCCTCCAGCATGTCCTGGGTCTTCCTCTGGCTCTCCTCCTGGTGGGACGTGTCAGGAACACCTCACCAGGGAGGCGTCCTAACTACATGCCACTCTCAGCTGACTCCTCTCGATGTGGAGAGGAAACTATCCTTTCATCATCTTTTTACTCAAATAAGCCACTCTGAGGACACGAGAAGATTTTTAAACTGGTCTTTATTTGCAAGGGTAGACAGTCACGGGAATTTTTTACAGGTGTACAAAAGTTACATGCCTTTAGCCTTGTGAGTGAGAATCTGCTACGGACAGTATAAAGAAGTGCTTTTATAAAAATTGTCAGACAGACACTGATGACCTCGGTCAGCTTTCAGAAGGCCTTGGAGTTCACCAGGTCTGCAGGCTCCGTGCTCCTCAGAGAGAAGCCTGCAGGCACACAAAGCAACTCAAACTCACATGCATTAGTTTAACATCAGTTAGCCATCTGTAATATTTACCCAGGTTCCCTTGACAACAGCCAGGCCACATTTTACATGGTGTTGGGTTGTACCTGAGATGAATTTTGAATTTTGAACACATTAGGAGACTGCACCAGATTGTCCATAACTTTTTTCAAGATTTGACCAAAATGGCTTCAACGCCATCATTTGTCAACAGAGCGTGACGTGAAAGATAATTCAGACATCAACTCTGGATTTAAAAATGAGCAACAACTTGTCTTTTTTCATCATGTAATTCTTTGTCTATATTTGTAGCTTCAAAGCTTTAAGGAATGCTTCAGCCTGTTTTCTGGTTAAGCTCTCTCATTTGTGAACTGATAAACCTTGTGTTCACTTTGCTCAAGTTATTTTGGTTGTCCTGGTTTTTATTCATTTCTAGTTATTTTCTCTTTGTATCATTATGTCGGGGGGCAGCTTGAGACAGCTCGTAGGGCCTTTTCTGGTCCTCGGGCCTTTTTTTCCCAGTAAATTGTGTTTTTCCAACATGAACCTTGACTGGTCTGCTCCACACTCTGTCAGGTGCGTGTGGACAGTGGCATTGAAGAAGGAAGTGACATCAGCATCTACTACGATCCCATGATCTCCAAGGTGAGCAAAATCTAATTTAATTTACATTTGGTAATAGAAAGAAAACGGATTTCTACATTTAAAATTCTGTCGTTCTACAGTAATTTGATCTAGTTTGTGTTTGTAGTTGGTTACCTATGGAGCTACACGAGCTGAAGCTCTTGCCAGGATGGAGGATGCTCTGGATAATTATGTGATCAGAGGTAGAAGAGCAGAAATGAAAGAGAAGCTCCTGCAGACAGTTTTCTCTCTCTAACACAGGTCGGGCTTCTCCTTCTCAGGTGTAACCCACAATATTCCACTTCTGAGGGAAATCATCACCCATCCTCGATTTATCTCTGGTGACATCAACACCAGCTTCCTGCCTGAGGTTTACCCTGACGGCTTCAAAGGTCACCAGCTGGACGCAGACGGTCGCAGGGAGCTGCTGGCCTCAGCAGCTGCACTCCACATCACCTCACAGCTCCGTTCACAGAAGCTCCTGGGCAACCTGAGGTAAAGATGCCCACTCAGTGAGGCAGTGTTGAGCTAGGGGTGGCTGTGGTGTAGAGGGAGGGCAGCTGGCTTGGGACCAGAATGTCACAAGTTCAACTCACCGCCATGCCCAAATGTTGTGGTGTCCTTGAGCAAGACACTAATTGCTAACTACTCCTCCTCCTCCTCCTCCTCCTCCTCATTATTATTATTATTATTATTATTATTATTAATCATCTTCTTCAGAGGTGTGGTTCTCATTGAACAGTGTTTTCTGCAGTAATTTCCTTGAACTAATCGTCTGTAAGGTGATTTGCAGCAGGACCAGCAGCTGTGGTGTTTAGCTGCTGCTGATAAACATGAAGCTGTGTTTCAGGCTGTCTCCAGCTCCTGTGGAAAGCAGCCGCTGGCAGCTGTGTGTGGAGCTGGGCGAGGGACGCCATGACATAGACATTACCAAAGCAGGAAACATTTATACTGTGAGTTTTACTTTACGTCCTCAATCTTTTTATTTATTTTTATGAAGTGCAAAGTCTATTGTTGCTTTGCACAAGCTTTTTTTTTGTTTTGATTCAACCTTTATTTAAACCGATAAATCACACTGAGCCTCAAAGACTCATTTACAAGTGAGACCTGTTTAGACGGACAAAAAGTAATGAAAGTGACACATGTCTAGGATTTGGAGACAAAAAAATCCTTTCAAACTTCTTCTCCTTGACCGAGGAGAAAGACCGTGATATTGAAAAAAAACACCCCGTACATAGTGACAGATATTCTGCAGGGGAGGGGAGATGACAAGAGCAGTGAGCGTGTCCAAGGACACTCCAGAGGCACTGCAGGAGTTCTGATAAGAATGGTACAATCAGTCAGTTCCCTCTGGTGAGATCTGTAAACGCTCATGTGCCGAGGTCAACCTGGAACAGCTCCAGAGAGAACCCGAGAACCCTGAAATGATGACACAGGGTTTAGTCAGCCAGGTCCCTCTGATAGGTCCGCAGACTTCCTCGATGGAAGGGGAAGAGAGGAGGCAGAGCATCGATTTACATGGCCTCCAGGCAAATTGAGATAATGTGACCAGTCAAGGCCAGCCAGGGAGCCAAATTCATATAAGCAGCAATTGTTTTGGGAACAGGCAGAACTTTACTGATTCATGTCTGCCTTGAGTCTTTGCTGGTCCTCTCGAATCCCAAACATCCAAATTAAGTGGACAGAGGCAGGCAGTCTGACCAGGGCCAAATTTGCTGCAGACGACTTCCTTGTTTGTTGATCGACCAGGAACCAGCTGAATCCAAAAAGCAGGAAGCCAGTTATCATAAACCAAATTTTATATATATATATATATATATATATATATGCATCCTTGTTGCTTGTTCTCATCGAGAAAATTTTATCAATTACGTTGAGACCAACTGACCAGATCCATAGCAAAAATTTACGGTTCGGAAGATATGTAGAGAGAGGCTCTGAAGCTGTTTCACAGACAGGACAGAGTAAAAACAAAGAGGAGGAGGGAGAGGAGGGGGAAAGTGTCCGCCCTTGACAGGAGCAAGTGGTGAATGCTGTAAGCTATAAGATTTATTCATGCATATTCATTTTCTTGTAGAAAATTATTTCATATAAAAGTACTTTTTTCCTGACTTGCCCTCGACGATGACGGATGCTTTTCTTCCCCCTCCTGCGGTCCTCCTGCTTTTACTCTTTGTCCTGTGTATCAGAGCCGCTCATACACATCTTCCGAATCATAAATTATTATGGATCTGGTCAGCTGGTCTCTCAACTCAATTGATAAAATTTTATCAACAAGGAGACAGGGTGCAGGAGAACCCTCATGCCCCGAAGGGACACATGCAGCTGGATATGTCATGGATTCCTGGAGTGTGTGGAAGATGATGTGTCTGTCTGTATTGTCTGTTGAGGACATAGAAGACGCGTACATAATTGGATTTATGATAACAGGGTTTCTGCTTTTTGGAATCGGAGGATACCTGGGATATCGACTAATTGGGAAGATGTCTGCAGCAGTTTCGGCAATCGTAAAGCTGCCTGCCTTATGTGACAGATTAATCTGTGCTTCGAGCGCTCAGACTCATATGTTTTGCAAACTGAACCATAAGCTGAACGTGATTTTTGAGAATCCTGGACCACTAGCAGCTCCTAGGACTCGCCGGCATGAAGGAATCGACCTTGGAGAAGGCTGACAAGGACGGACCGGTGGAATGTCCACAAATCTGACTGTTTGGATTCACCATTGAGTGAACCAGCAGAATTGAAGGCAGACATGAAATCAGTAGAGTCAGCCTGTCCAAAGCGATTATTTTTCTGACTCTGGCCTCCCCGCTGGCCTTGGATAGGCCAACTTAGCTCAGATTGCTCCTGGGGGAGTGGTGGTGCAGAGGTTAGAAGATGGGCCTGTGATCGGAAAGTTGCAGGTTCAACTCCCAGTACCGTCAACATCAAAATGTGGGTGAAAAAGGTGAAACACCCACACCAGCCTCTACCCTCATTTGCCCCACTCTGGGCCCCTGAGCAAGGCCATTAACCCCCACCATCTGCTCCCTAAACAGGTCTCTCTTGAAAATGAGTTCATGTGACTCATTGAGACTACCTGTATAAATAAAGGGTAAATGAAACGAAAAAAAATGCTCCTGGTGGATACATAAATTAAGAAACTCCACTCCTCCACACCTGAGAACATCTGTGGACACTTATTATTAGCTATGTTTACATGGACATAAATAATGGGCTCAAACGGCCGTTCGGAATAAAAACGCGTCATGTAAACACCCTGTTCGGGTTATTATTTGTTTATTCAGCGTGATCCGAAATAATTTGTGATCAGAACGAAACGGGTGGTTTACGCAGATTCATAACCCGAACGGTACACATGTAAACAATCGATCTGTTCATTTTTATCTGATGGTGAAAAACTGACCTGACTGCGCATGTGTGACTTTGCCATTTCTGCCTGGCTAATGCTAATAATATTAGCATGTCGAGGAAGTAAAACTGGTCGGTGAGCGACATCATTTCTACTAGAAACTCTGAAAGAGCTCAAAATGATCTGTATCACCTGTAGCTCAGTCAGGGAGTGCAGTAACATCTCCACCGTCATTAAAACCTGTCGCGGGTCCATTTTGGGCGCTCAGGTTTGTTTACGTTCATCTTGGAGGTAGAACTTCTTCTTCTACGTTTTTTTTAAGGCGAGTTTATCACTCTGCTCATGTCAGTACTTCTGTTCAGAACAAAGCCAGCTGCATGTAAACGCTCGTCATGAACAGATTGTGCCCATGTAAACAATACATTTGAATTATTTAATCTGAAAACATTTCAATCCAGTAAAAAAAGAGAGATCTTTTTTTAAATATCGTCTCTCCTCATGTTCTCTTCCCCTCTTCTTATCTAAGTGATAAGAGCAGCGCTTCATGGAATCTGCAGCTTCGGTACACTTCCGTCTACCCTTCAGATGGCTGTACAGAACGTATTTTCACTGTACCTAACTGTGCAATGACAATAAAGTTTATTCTGATTTAGTTATTTTTGGTTTTAATGCTGTGATGTTTATGACCAAAGACTAAAGTGAAACATTGAAAGTGGTGGTTTATAAAACCTATAATAATGTTGGAGCTAAAACCTTCCTCTTCTTTCTGTTTAATATTAATTAGTTTTTGTGGAAATATCCACACATTTTTATCCAATCTTTGGTTTTGAATGAAACTAAAATAGCTCAAAGTTAAAGCAGTCTGCTGTAGAAGTTGAAACAGAATTAGCTATCAGTAGTTTAGACATTATGGGATGGAATATGTTTGTGTCTGCAGGTGGGGGTGGATGGAGAGACGGTTGAGGTGAGTGGACAGTGGAACCTGGCGTCCCCTCTGCATGCACTAACTATCAATGGCACACAGAGGATGCTTCAGGTAAGACATGCAGGTTCTTGATCAGACATATTTCTTTATTTACAAAGATCCGACTGGATCAAAATGAAACTGTTTCTAAAAACATTTTGTCTTTTTGTTTAGTGTCTGTCCAGAGAGGCCTCAGGCCTGATTGTTCTCCAGTACATGGGTACATTGGTAAGTCTGGATGTTTACACTCAGGCATTATGCAGTTTACTGGAGATCTTATTACTGACAGTGAACATGGGTGCACGAGCCGGCTCACAAATCAGGAACAGAAAATATTCTCTGATTTACCGAGTTTAGAAATATAAATGTATGTTTTTAAAACCATTCTAACAACTAGACACAATTACCGTACTTTCCGCCGTACATGTCCCTCCCACGTATAAGTCACATCAGTCCAAATATGTCTAAAAAGTGGAAAAAACAAATACGTTGCTTCACCGTATAAGTCGTATCTATTATGCGTCACCGCTGACAACCCGGAAACGTGTCGCCGGTGTTGTGCCAAAAATCAGTTGGCTGCCAAATGGTGGCCGGGGGAGCGTGCACGGGAGAGCTTTAACAAGAAAGAAACAAGATTAACATTTAAAAATGATTATTTGTTTGCTCGAAATTATAGCAAAGGTGTGTCTCTGAACTTTTCCTTAATAAATGCACTTTACTGGTCAAATCAGCTGCATTTCTCCTGGGCGGCGCAGAGAAATGAAGCTGATTTGACATTTGCTTCAGGAGTTACAGAGCAAGTTGAAGCTGGCTTGGTATGGCAAGCCAAGTGTCTCATTAATAGCCACCTTTACCTATTAGAGACTCTTGGCTTGCCATATTAGTCGAGTTCCCTCTAGTGGCTGAAAATGGTAGTGTTCAATATTTTCCATGTCAGAATGAATGAAACCGTCAGATCTCAGTCAAAAATTGGGTTATAAATATTGGAGGAGAAAAAAAAAACATGAATACATCGCTTCGCTGTATAAATCACAGGACTTGCAAATTCATGCAAAAAGGTGCAATTTATATGGCGACAAATATGGCATGTGCATTATATACAAGATATTATTTATCAATTTGACAATATTTTATTTTATTTTTCCTGGTACCTCATCGTGATAATGACTGAACTTCTTTCAACAGTGAAACTGGTTTTTAGAGGTAGTTTGAAACCCGTAGGTGACTTCTACCTCATTTTACCTGTTTGGACCAGCAGCACAGATAAACATTGTACCAGCTCTCTAGCTTTGTATCGCCTGTTTGTTTCCTTCTACTTTTAAGGCACTAAAGCTGTCATGATATTTTTTTAACACAGTGTTTTTCCAGTTTATATTTCATAATGCTGAAATGCCCACGCCACACCACTAGGTGGTGAGAACATCCACACTAATATTTTTAAAGATAGCAGAAGAGCAATTTTAATCTGGTTTAATATTTTCTCAAAACGATTCTAGCTTGATGATGGTGAACATGCACAAATTAGACTCGAGTCCACATAGTGCACCAAAAACACGTTTGTTTTATTTTTGATCTCAGTAACCTTCATTCGCTTGTGGACAGAAAGCAAAGCTGCAGTATTTAACAGAGCCTGAGGGTGAAAACATTTGATTTATTTATTTCAAACAAGAAGTTTAAAAATATGTACAGGGAGAGAAAAATAACAAATAAAGATTATAAATATAAAACCAAAGCAAAATACTTTTAAATACAGCTTTACCTTTAGTTTATATGTCCAAAATTTGAATCACAGATGTACTGGGACAAGTTTATATATGTGTATTTATATATAAATATTATACATCTATGTGTTTTTCTTATTTTTTGTTTTCTGTAGTTTAAGGTTCGTATTTTATCCAAGTTGGCTTCAGAGTTGAACTCCTACATGCCGGAGAAAGTTGCAGAGGACACCAGCAGCATCCTGCGTTCTCCCATGCCAGGGACGGTTGTGGCTGTGTCTGTAAAGCCTGGAGATACGGTAAAATATCCCAACATCGATGATTACAGCACATTTCTAGGTGAAGAACATCCTACTAGCCTGTAGTCATTACTACTGTAATTACTCCCACGTTATCTGTTACATGTTCTCAAATAAAAGAGCAAGCCTATAATCTGTGTAAGATTACCAGCTCAGAAATATATTTCAGTGTAGAGACGAGTAAAAGCACGTCCAGTCAGTTATCGTAGTGTTGTGTAGATTCTCAGACATCCAGGACATGGTCAGTCAGATTATTTCAGTTGAACTCTTAAGCCATTGAACTGATGCCCTCTTGTCCTTGTAGGTTGCAGAAGGTCAGGAGATCTGTGTGATTGAAGCCATGAAGATGCAGAACAGTTTAACGGCTGTCAAACAAGCAAAGGTAACAAGAGGAAAAATGTAATTTCTTATTTACTGGGACTAATGGTTTCACCTCTTCTGCTGAGGTGGAAGAAACACTAAAACCAACAGTTAGGTTTCATGGAAGAGTGGTAAGACAAAAAAAAGAATAAAAATAAGGCAGACTATTTGATATTTGCTGGAGACTCCCCAAATGTGGACAAAGATGCTGTGGTCAGATGAGACTAAAACTGAAACTAAAACTGACCATCCCTACTGTGAAACGTGGTGGTGGCAGCATCATGCTGAGGGGATGCTTCTCATCAGCAGAGGCAGGGAAACCTGTCCAGGTTGAACAAGGCAGATGAAGCAAAATGTAGAGGAATATTTTAGAGAAACCTGTTTGAGTCCTTCAAAGATTTGAAGCTGGAACAAAGTTCACCTTCCAGCAGGACGATGACTCTAAACGCACCGCTGAAGAAACCCTCGAGTGGTTTAAGGAGAACCAGATGTGCCCTGGAATGATCCAGTTAAAGTCCAGACCTCAGTCCAATTGAGAATCGTTTGTATTAAAGATTGCTGGACTCCAGCAGCACCTGTCCAACATTAAGGATCTGGAGCAGTTTGGTCATGAAGAATGGGGGAAAAAAACTCCAGAGACCAGATGGACCAAGAACATGAAGACATACCTGAAGAGACTTGCGGCATTTGTTAAAATGATTAATACCAGTTTTGTTCCCCATTTAACTCCATTAATCAGGGGTATTTTTGTAGATTTATTACTTACAATAAAATTAAAAATGCATATAAATTCCAGGTCGAAAGGCAATAAAATAGAAAGAATTTATGAAGATTGTTTTCCCAATAAAGCTGAGGTCTTTATCGAGTTTTCCACAGAGGATTACTAATTAACTTATAAAAGTTTAAATCTGTGTGTGTGTCCTCTTCCTCCAGGTCAAGAGTGTCCACTGTAAGCCCGGAGAAACCGTGGGAGAGGGAGATCTACTGGTGGAGCTGGAATAAAACAGAGCTTCCATGTGGGACTTCAGCTCCACAGGACAGAGCAGGACCCGCTTTCATCAACAGACTGGACTTGTTTTTCCAGCTGTCCGGCAGTTGTGGTCCACCAGTTCATGATGGAGACTCAGAGCAAAGATGCTGGACTTCTCAGACTCCCTTATGTGTCTTATCTGTCGTATTTCTCTTCTGATTGTAGTAGTTTTATAAAGAATTCTCTTCACGTTCACTGACAAATACATTTAGATTTTTGTCACTTGCTGCTAGTTTTGGTTTGAAACTTCAGTTTTCAGCCAACTCATGGACCAGAACTGCAGTATGAGTAAATCAAACACCAGACTGGAGCATGTGTGGACTTGCAGCAATTTCCTACAAAATCTACTCAAGGTTGAATAGGAAGGAAACTGCTGTGGTTTGAAGTTCACAGATTTACAGTAGTTTCTATTTCTTTGGGGATTTGTAAGTGCTTATTAGGATTTAGTAAGGACATGTCCAAGGTGTACCTCGTCTTTCACCCAATGACCCCTGGAGACGGGAACCAGCTCCCTGTGACCCTGAACAGAGTCAAGCCGGTAAATTAAACAGATGGATAGACAAATTTACCAAAAGAACATTAATTCAGCTCAGCTTTATTTTTATAGCTCTTTAAAAATGCAAGTGTTTAAAGCAAATCATTTATGCTCTCACATCCATCCATCCATCCATCCATCCATTTTCTTTACCTGTTTATTCCATTTTGGGTCACGGGGGTCGCTGGTGCCCATGTCCAGCAATCACTGTGCGAGGGGCGGGGGACACCCTGGACGGGTCGCAAGTCCATCACAGGGACACATAGAGACAAACAACCATTCACTCTCTCACTCACACCTAGGGACAATTTAGAGCCACCAATCAGCCTAACATGCATGTTTTTGGTCTGTGGGAGGAAACCGGAGTACCCGGAGATAATTATGCTCTCACATGATTGTGGAAATTTTAAACCACAACTTTGCATCACGTGGCAGTTTGCAGACATTAGTTTGTGTGCAGCTCCTTAAAGTCCCACCGCAGCATTTTATCTAGGTTGAGGTTCATTTTATTTGGTCATCTTGTAGATTTGCTGCTGTTTGGGATCATGAGCTGATTTATTATGATGCGGTTTGGTTCCGTCTGTGGTTCTCAAACTTTCATCACAAGTATGACGCCTGAAATAAATATACATTCAAACAGTAGAACATGCTTTCACGCCTGTATTCATGTCTGACACATGGTCTAGCCTCTGATCAAAGTAAGATGTAATGGTCCCAGGTGTTGCACAGAACACCACACACTACAGTCCTGACTTTTGTTCTCAACTAAATACAGATTTAAGATGACGAGTCAAATTCCCTGTTTCAGACGTCACTGGCACAGTTCACAGCAGTTTCCACTGGGTTTCTTAAAATGGTGTCCATATATTTACTTTTGAATTACTGCAATTTGAAGTCAGAATTATAATTTGATTAAACTATTCATCTGCCTTTTATATTTATAACCTATTCATCTTGTGAACAGCTGATACCAGAATTTCTTCCAAGTATCACTAGTAGAGGGATCCTGAGTACCACAGCTAGTACTTGTACCAGAGTTTGAGAGCCATGACTGTTTGATCTTTTATCACCGAAATAGTTAATAAAGACTTTTAACCTTCCCAGACTGGTGGACAGCAACTGTTGCTTCTCCAATGTCTCTTTTCTCTGACATTTTAATGCACTTATGCTCCAAACTGCCAAAAAACAACTCTTGCTTCACACTGATGATCCGTTAATAAATACATTTGATCAGCAGCACCTGGCTGCTAGGAGCAAGACTAGAGTTACACATTGACCTCGTTTCCACACACACATTTTCCATTTACTTTTGTTTTTGTTGAATAAACGATGATGTAATGGTTTCATTTGTCTTTGAGGTTGAGATTTGAATCATATTTGAACAAACTATTTTATCATGTCTTTACATGAACAGTTGAGCATGTTGTTTCATGTCTGACAATGGACAGGTGTCTATACCGGTATATATTGAATTGAACTGAATTTGGATTTGTAACTCGAGATCATAAGAACTTCTATACAACTAATTATCTACCTCTCATGGCGAACCTTAAGCAGGACGTTGCTAGATGGCAATCCCTGCCTCACACTCTAGGGATCAGAATAAACTAAAACCTAAGTTTCTATACCCGTTTCAAAAGCTGCCAGTTTTCCTTACTAAATCATTCTTTACCAATATCCTGATGCATGCTCAATAATCCAGGTAGAAAAATCTAAAAAAGTCATCTCCAGGCCAGCGGTCACTCAGGGATGAAGATGTGCACATCCTGGATAGAGAGGAGCGATGGTTTGAGAGAGGAGTAAAGGAGGCCATCTTTGTGAAAAGAAATCGTCCATCATTAAACAGGGGTGGAGGCCTACGTGTTCAACTGTCCCCCTCTTCCAATGCTGTGATTGCTAGTATCACTCAGCCCTCTGTGAATAGTACACAGCCATCAGTGTGCTAACGATCCATTGTTAGGCTGATGGTCCTTCTTGAGCATGTGATCAGCTGGTTTTGGTTGTCAGCAGCAAAACTGGTTGATCCACTCTGAGAAGGTGCTATTTAAGAGACTGAGCTGAATACAGCACCTCAGACTGAAGAAGTCTCTCGGACGAGAGACGAAACGTTTCTACATTTTTTGTTGTTTTGCTTTGTTTTGGTTTTTTTTGAATGTCCAGAGGACCAGATTGAACTTTTTTAGATTCTTTACCAATCTGAACAATCAGATATCAGTCCAACATTTTTCAGTCAGGTCATCTGGACAGTTTCTTTTTTTGTGCTGAAATGTTTTGCCTTTGATCCGGAAGGCTTCATCAGTCAAGGAAACACACAACAAAACTGATTCTTCCCCCAACAGCTTAATCCAAAGTGGAACAAACCAGTTTTGTTGGTGCTAAGATGGTCTCTTTGGTATGCCCCTGCCTCTATTGCCGGCCCTCTTCCTTGCTGACAGTCATGTCAAACTAGTTGAAAACTGGTTGAAAAATCAGATATAAGTGTTGGTATTTGGAATAAAAATCATCCATGGTATGCCAAGAGGGTCTTACACCTGCCCCACAGACTTGGAGGCATATGTGGCTTCCTAACGTTATGCATACTGGGCAGCTAATATCAGAGCTCTTCTGTTCTGGTTGGATAAGAATACACCTCCCAGTTGGGTGGCCTTGGAAAGGGCCTCAGTTAGATCCAGCTCCTCCTCTGCATTACTCTGCTTTTGGCTGCCCTTTAAATAATATCAACCCACTTCTAACCCAAGTGTGATCTGGGCAGTAAAGATTTGGAATCAGTTCAGGAGTGTATTTAACTCTGCAGAATTACTGTTTTTGGCACTTGTGTCAAATACTCATATGTTTACTCCCTCAGTAGATGATACAACTTTTGAAACCTGGGTCTTGAGGGGAGTGCATTCACTGTGTGGTCTCTGTGTTGATGGTAGATTTGTCTCTTTTGAGCAGCTGGTACAGAAGTTTAATATCCACAAGTCACAGTTTTTCAGATATCTGCAGCTGAGTCATTTTGTGAGATCTAACTGATTGTTTTCCATTGTACCCCTCTAAACATTTTGTGGCTAAGATTTTGGAGTGGGGCCCAAGTGAGTCCTTGGCAAGATTTATACACTGCTCAGTTCATACCATGAGTCCAGTTTGGACTCCCTTAAACTGAAATAGGAAACAGACTTGGAGGAATCCATATCAGACCCATCTGGAGAAGGATTATTAAGAACATCCTGATGCATGCTCAATAATCCAGGTAGAAAAATCTAAAAAAAAGTTAAATCTGGTTCTCTCAAAAAAAACTAAACAGCCTCTGGCCATAAGGATGGACCAGCACAGAAGAGCAACATTACCAGACCAGGACTCTGCGGTCTACACACATCTCCAGGCCAGCGGTCACTCTTTCAGGGATGAAGATGTTCACAACCTGGATAGAGAGGAACGATGGTTTGAGAGAGGAGTAAAGGAGGCCATCTTTGTGAAAAGAAATCGTCCATCATTACAGTGCCTTGCGAAAGTATTCGGCCCCCTTGAACTTTTCAACCTTTTGCCACATTTCAGGCTACAAACATAAAGATATAAAATTTTATTTTTTTGTGAAGAGTCAACAAGTGGGACACAATCATGAAGTAGAATGAAATTTACTGGATGTGTCAAACTTTTTTAACAAATAAACAACTGAAAAGTGGGGCGTGCAATATTATTGGGCCCCTTTACTTTCAGTGCAGCAAACTCACTCCAGAAGTTCAGTGAGGATCTATGAATTATCCAATGTTGTCCCAAATGACTGATGATGATAAATAGAATCCACCTGTGTGTAATCAAGTCTCCGTATAAATGCACCTGCTCTGTGATAGTCTCGGGGTTCTGTTCAAAGTGCAGAGAGCATCATGAAGACCAAGGAACAGACCAGGCAGGTCCGAGATACTGTTGTGGAGAAATTTAAAGCCGGATTTGGATACAAAAAGATTTCCCAAGCTTTAAACATCCCAAGGAGCACTGTGCAAGCAATCATATTGAAATGGAAGGAGTATCAGACCACTGCAAATCTACCAAGACTGGCCGTCCCTCTAAACTTTCATCTCGAACAAGGAGAAGACTGATCAGAGATGCAGCCAAGAGGCCCATGATCACTCTGGATGAACTGCAGAGATCTGCAGCTGAGGTGGGAGAGTCTGTCCATAGGACAACAATCAGTCGTACACTGCACAAATCTGGCCTTTATGGAAGAGTGGCAAGAAGAAAGCCATTTCTCAAAGATGTCCATAAAAAGTGTTGTTTAAAGTTTGCAACAAGCACCTGGGAGACACACAAAACATGTGGAAGAAGGTGCTCTGCTCACATGAAACCAAAATCCAACTGTTTGGCCACAATGCAAAACGATATGTTTGGCGTAAAAGCAACTCAGCTCATCACCCTGAACACACCATCCCCACTGTCAAACATGGTGGTGGCAGCATTATGGTTTGGGCCTGTTTTCATCAGCAGGGACAGGGAAGATGGTCAGAATTGATGGGAAGATGGATGGGGCCAAATACAGGACCATTCTGGAAGAAAACCTGTTTGAGTCTGCAAGAGACCTGAGACTGGGACGGAGATTTATCTTCCAACAAGACAATGATCCAAAACATAAACCAAATCTACAATGGAATGGTTCACAAATAAACGTA